AATAGTTTTGAAGACTGGTTAGCAAGTCGCAAGGAATGTTAAATTTGATTTGCGAGACCAAGGAGTTGTGTAATCGCAGCCATCTTGAAAAAAGGATGGTCAAAGTAGTTCTTATTAAGGGGAACAGTAATCTTCGGGCTATACTGATCACGATGCACAGTGTTTCGACCATATGGAGGCAGGTGGAAATAAAAGTAAACCACCACCGATTTCGCTGAAACTTTAGATGTCTATGTCTAATTTTACTTAGAAATAGGGAATTATGAAATTTAGTAAAGGTGGAATAATTGCCATGATGATGAAATTTACTTTGTACTCTCTCTTTTATTAGAAAACCCTATATGTAAAATATGCGGAGGATTGGATCACTATAACGTCCAAAATTCACAAAATATGTGGGCCCAGTCATTAAATGTGATGGACCGGTAGTCATACTTTTTTTACTAATAATCTTTAGCATCTACATTTTAAAGGAAATTTTTTATAAACGAAATAGGAAAATACCAAATAAATGATAAATACCTTCACTTGAATATTCCACGACACACAGTGGTCGGACAGGCAATGTTCTACGCGAAAAAGGCATATTTTATAACTGTAATTAATGAACTGGAATAGAGCCATTCTTATTCAGAAAAGTCCAGCGAACTCAAATCTGATTAGTATTTTTAATAATATCTGCTCAGCAGCATATTCAGATTTAGCATTACAAAAATACTACGATACTGCATTTTTATTATAATCGTAACATTCCTTCAAATTTTTCGCGTAAAACATATCTTCTCCGACCACTGTGCGATATTTAAATAATTGATTACAGTTGAAAAAGTAACAGTAACGTTACCGCGCCGATCCCAGTATTTTGTTTTTTTTTTTTAAATGCTCCGTTCGTGGAAAAGGGGGTGAGCAAATTATGTAAAATTTTGTTGTATATATGACTTGCTTTTCCCTCTCTAAGCCCACCCGGTTTTTTTTTTATCACCTGCCACCCATGACTTTTTCCTACCAGCCTCCATATAGTCGAAACACTGTGCGATGTAAAAAGTTTTTCTTTTTTAAAAACGAAGATTGGTTTGCAAATCGCTTTACAGTGGCAACTATCAGAACTTGTGGTGCATTATCAAAGATTGAGGAAGTGACGCATCCACTACCTTCGAAGCAGTCAAAAATTGAACCTTATCTTAGTTTTCATATTTCTACTTTATGAAAAGTAGGCGTGATTATTGTGCGATTTCGCCGCCAATTTTCCACACCAACCATTCTTGGTCTTCTATTTACATATTCCTTAAGTTTTATTGCGGTACCTCAATTATTACGCCATACAAAATTTCCCACTGTGCGCCGCCTAAAGTGGGAAATAATAATTGTTGCCATCGTTTTCTTTCTTCCTTTTGTAGTTACTTTGGTTTTTCTATCCTTTGTATTACATACATATGCACATACACATATACATACATACATATTAAAATAGTATCGAAAAATCGGTGCATTATAAGTAAAAATTTGCTGCGGCTGTTGGTGGTTTTATTATTATTATATTTTTTTTTTTGATATAGGATTGCATTTCACATCGATACTAGTAATTCCATCTGTAACTGTTTCCTAGCAAAAGCTTTGATTAAAAATTCATCTATTGAATGCACTCCTTTCCACTGCAATCGTAATTGTGATAAGTAAATAGTTCGCTCGCTCCTTCCTGCTAAATTTCTGATATCCATTCTTTTTTATTCATATTTTAGTTGTAGTTATATACAAATCGTCAACGCAATTCATATCAACTGTACATATGTACATACAAACATATTTTTATATAGATATACATACATAGATATTTTTGTTCTTTTACTTTTTTAAGATTTTCAATACACACATACAACTAAATATGATAACAATATGCAGTAGCGTAAAATTAAATTTTTTGTTTTAAAGTTTTAAAGATAGTATAATACATTTTGTACAAATTAAGTTTATATGCTTGCATATATATTCTTTTTTTTTTTTTTTAATTTCATTACAAACGGAAAAAGGTTAAAGGCAAGGATAGTGAGGTTAAGGCAGAAACCAAAAAAATAGAAAAATAAATTGGTCAAATATTTTTAGTTGCTACATTTTCTAGTGGCTATCTGGATATACAGCTTGCCGCCCAACGGCATACATTCAAACTAACATAATTTCATACAAACATACCTACATGCTATACATACATATAAAGAGTGCGCTGTACTGGCGTTGGCGTTGAGCTAACCGATTTTAGTGTTTCTCTATAAGTAAGCTAGGTATGTATTTTTTTTTTTAGTCTTATTTAATTTAATTTTGCATTTTTATATAATATTTATTTTAATTCTTTATGCCATAAGCTATTGTTTTTATTTTTAAGTACAATTAACATTAATTAATTATTAACAGTGTGTTGCAATGCGTTAATTATCTTTGCTTATGCGTGCATACTATTTTTTATTTGGGTTTATTTATTTCTTCTGTTAAATTCTTTTTAATTTTTATTTTTAAAATTATTTATTTTTTTTTGTTAAATTAATGTAACATCCGGCAAATTGATATTTGTTATTTTAGATATATATATTTTTAATACATAATCTAACGTCTTGTTTTGTTAATTATTTTTGCTATTCTATTTTTGCTATATTTTTCTCAATTCTATGCTATCTCCGTTATCACTTGGCATGCTGCCCAGATTTTATATTTTGTTTTTATGCAAGTTAACTAATTACTTTAAGTAATTCTGTGTCAGCTGCTCTGCTGGTGATGGGTAATTTGTTTATAAACTAATTAAGTACATTTAACATTTATCTTTTACGCTGTTTTGGGTAATGCAATAACATTGATGCTCTCTCTCTCTCTATCTTACTACCATTCAACAATTTGATGTGTGCTAAAATAATTACTTCGATATGTTGGCAAAATTTAGACCGCATACATTGCGAGGAAAAATGGAGTAGCGAAAAAAGTACTAGGTTCAGAAGTCGCCCACAATAAACTAGCCCCTTTTTAGTTTTTTTTTTTTTAATTTCTTTCAGAATGTCGTACATCATAAAGCTACAATGCTTTAGTGAATATTTTTTCCCCAATTAGTTGACTAACTAGTCCCAAATAAACCAGTTCCATTTTCACTAGCTTGCTTCGGCTATAATTGACCTGATATTTCGAAAGAAAGTAGGCTAGACAAACCAGCGAGGCAAATATGGAGTTGTGAAAAAGTACTACTTGCAGAAGTCATCCACAAAAAACTAGTCATTTATTAATTTTTTTTTAATTGGTTCAAAATGTCGTAAATCGGGAAACTCCACTGTTTTAGTAAATATTTTTTTCCAAGTAGTTGGCTAACTAGTCTCAAATAAACTAGTTCCATTTTCACTAGTTTGCTTCGGATATAATTGACTTGATATGTTGAAAGAAAGACAAACCAGCGAGGAAAAAATGGACTTGTGAAAAAAGTACTAATTGCAGCAGTGGTTCATAAGAAACTAATCCCTTTTTCGTTAGTTTTAATTTGGTTAAAAAAATATCGTTAATCATGAAATAACGGTGTTTCTGAGTAAAGTAATTAAAGTAAATTTCAAATTCAGATGTTATTGGCAATTCTTTTTTGTATCTACTTAACTAGTCCAATTCTTTACGAACTTAAATATGTAAAAAGTCTTAAAAAAAATTGTGTATTTTCGCAACAAAAAATAGGTAGAACTAGTTTTCTTTAAAATTGTTTTCTGCTTTAAAAAATTCAAAACTTCAATATTTTTGAAAATCAAAATTTATTTTGATAAAATTTGTAATTCAAAAATTAAAAAAATTAAAAATAAAACAGAACAGCCGCAAGTATTTCTTAAACAAGTTTTGACAGTTTTAAATTAACTTTTGACACATTGCAGATATGTATGTATATTTTTCAGTTTGCGGCAATATTCCTAGCATGTAACGGAAACTTGACAAATCAAGTCTTCAAAAGGCAATGCTAGTGCCAAAGGAACTAGTTGCTTTTAGATCAGTTGTATAATAGCAATAATAAATTTTTTCCCACATATTTATGTGGATTATGAATATATGTGGATTATGAATATATGTTATATATTATATATATACGTTATATATATATATTATTCAGCGATTTTTTTTCAAGTGTAACTTTGATCTTTACACGGCTTCAACTCAATCCCAATTGATGAAACGGAGGTTATTTGTTTCGAGCAGAAACTTTCTACACAAATTTTTGAAGATTTTAAAAAAAAATTTTATAAGAATTTTTTATGATTCAAGAAAACGTAGGTAGTTTCTTCCGGTTTCACATCTGAACTTTTATAAACAAATTTGATTAATCGAATTTAACAAGTTTTTAGAGAACTGTTTAATTTTTAACCGGAACTAGTGAAAAAAGGTAAATTTGTTTCTAGTTTAAATTTTAGCAAAACCAGCAATTTTTCAAAAGCTTACTGCAACTTCGACACCTTGCAACTAGTCTCTAACTAGTGAAAAAGTGGTGGATTCAACAGCTGTCATCTCAACAAATGAACTTAAAGCTCGCTACTTGACAACAAAATAATTTCCTCGCAGTGTACGCGCAGTGTACAGCACTTAATATATCTACATTAGGGCGGGTCAATTTGTATGGGAGATTTTTTCGGCTATGCACGTATAGCACAGAACGATTCTACGTTTAATTCTAAGCAAATTTGCCGAAGAAACCATAGGTCTAAAATCAATTTGGAGTTTAGAAAAATGCGAAAATAGGTTTCTTAGCATTTTGTTTCTTAAAATTTTGTATAAAAAAAATTCTGTAAGGAATCCATCTCTGCACTTATCGTTTTCTTTAAACTTCTGCAAAAGGGAGCAACAGTGAAAATTTCAAATTGATTTTAGATCCATGGTTTCTTCAGCAAATTTTGTTAGAAATATGCGTAGAATCGCAATATGCTACATATACACGTAAAGTCAAAAAATTTACTCGCGCTAATATACATAAAATTTTTAATTTTCGAACTTCTAGAACCTCGCATCTTGTGCTAAATAAGCTCTTCTATTCCTATCACTAAAGGTCACACCATTTTCTGTTTTTACATTGTTTCCTTACAAGTCCTTTCCAAAGTTTACTCTCTTCTTGTTACATGCATTCTGGTCCGAAAAGTTAATATAAAAAGCGCTCAAACATTGCATACTTTTAGGTGTTGGAAATGTAAATAAAAGTAACACAGAGATGTTCACAAGCAGCTACTCAACTCTTTGCTCGAAGAAGAGCCCAGCAGAATTAGTCTACATTCGTTTCATAGAAGATTCGCGAAAGTGACGCGGCTGTGAGTGCGTCAACTCTGCCCACCAATGCAGCTAAAGCGCCAATTGTGCTTTCATCCTCTGGCTCTCCACTCCAACTTTGCAGCTACTGAGTTGCTTAGCTTTTTTCGCTCGTACGCAAGTCGCACACAACACACATGCCACATACCGTCTCTTTCTCGCGCTCCTCCTCCTCCTCTCAATTAAGTAGCATGAGGACTTCCCACTTCCTCTTTCGCCTTCGTCTACAGTTGCACCTGGAATGTTTGCGCCGGTACCTTCGGCGGTGAAATGAATGGATTGGTACTGTGTAGTGGTGCAGCTGTACTGCTTAATGTGGGTGTTACTACTATCTCTCCCACTGGCGTTGTGGGTGCCACTGGCAGATCGGGTGAGAGTGGTTTTGTTACACCGGCTACCCATTCGGCATCGAAGGGGTCGACACCTAATGGCGGTGCGGCGCTCATTGACTGAGTGCGTCCGGTTGAGTTGAGCAAGCGTGGCGCACGTTTGATAACCGCAGGCGATGTCTTCTTCACCACTTCGCCTAGCCACTGATCAGCATTGGGCAGTGGTGCTACCACCTCCACTGGACGTACAGTTGTTGGTGGCGGTGGCGGTGGCGGCGTCATAGTCAACGTTGGTGTTGTAGGCGTATGTACGGGCGAATTTGTGGATATTGGCGACACCGAGGAGACGCGTGGCGCTACTTGTGCCGTAGGTGTGGTGGTGGTTGCGCCCACAATTGAACCGCTACTCACTGCGCCCTCGGCGTATTCGTACATTCTAATACTGGCGCCGGCGGCGGCAGCTGCGATGCTGTTATTGCTGGCAGTTGCCGACAATCCAGTTGGTGTGGAGATTCCCTTCTGTTGTTGTTGCGTCTTTTCCGCGGCAATGATATTCTGATTAATGCTCATATTGTTATTGAAATTGAGATCATCGCCAGCAGCAATCATTGCATCAGTTTGGCTGAGCAACGACAAACCCTGACTGAGCTCCTGACACAATTGGCTGACCGTGTCGATGGTGGCGATGCCATTATCTAAATCTGCGATGCCGCCGCCCATCTTAGCTGGTGAGATCTCGGGTATGGGTGAAACACTACGATTTGGTGTGGCTAACGCAGCGGCAAGTGAACCGCCATTAGCAGCTGCCAAAAATGCCTTCTGTCGTTCTGTGTTGGACGGAAGATCGTTGATGCGCAGTGACATCTGTCGCTTGAAAGGTGACTGGCTACCGATGGTGCTGAATGCACGGAACGAACCCTGTCGCTCCAGCATTGAAGGTGTGGCGTGTGGACGCTCAATGGCGAAGGGATTATAGGGTTTTGGCTGTGGCGGCACAACAGCCGAGGGTGTTTCACCTTGCGCCAAACGCTCGGTCAGAGTTTGCTGGCGAAACGAACCGGTACGCGTAAATGTCGAATTCTTAACATCGAACGTCATGGTGACACCACATTCCTTATCGCGACGTTGCTTGCGCTCCAAACAGACGGCAAAAGCACAACCCACGGCATGTGAGAGACGTTCGCCGAGCTCTTTGCACGCCAGGAAACCATGACACATCCAACGACGCGTAGTGCCATCGCGACAAATGTAGCTGAAACCGCGCTCGTGGTTACGATCTGGGGCGCAGAAGCTCACTTTCTCGATGGTCTGATCGACAATGAGGCCCTTTGTCTCATCGTCCACGACGCGCAGTCCATCGCCGCTAACGTGCAGCACGCCGCGTATGGGTCGACGGCGCGAATTCTGAAAGAAGAAAGGAAAATTGTTGATAAGTAAAAAAGTGTAATTCATTTTTGAGTGATAAGCAGGCTATATACGCCCACATTTTTCAGCTGATAGAGGGTTAATGCGAATAAGGAGACGGTAATGAGGTGCTGATTAAAAGCGTGATGAATATTGGAAAATATGTATGTAATTAATGATTTTGTTTCCATGCCTATTGTGGGCGAGATAAGCTGTAATACGCCCAACTTTTTACTATCTACACAGCTGAGACGATAATTGAATGCTTTCTTCGTGCGATTTTTGTGCTTCGAAGGCATATCCACGTTGTTGTAATTAAAACGCGCTGAAAAAACTGAGTGGGCCTAAATGTACTAGTTGTGTAACTGGTTAAAGTTATCAATGAAGTTGAGAATTTTTAAATGAAAGTTCATTAATTTATAGTTTTTATCAGGGACCGAGAACGCGTACCAGTGTTGGTTTAGTTCCGCACGAGAACAAAATGTAATGTCAAGAACGTTCTCACAAAAGAGCCAAACGGGAACAAAATGAGATTAAAAGTTTCGGGAACGTTTCCGTAAAGAACAAAGCACGAACAAAACTCTCGAGAACGTTCTCAAGATGAATAGAATGAGACGAAATTTCGAGAACTTTTCATATGAGAACAAAATAAGAACGAAAGTATCGAGAACGTTTTCAAGGAGGATCAAATAAGAACAAAAGTCTGGGGAACGTTCTGCTAGAGAACAAAACCAGAAAAAAACTTTTGAGAACTTAACGCCCCGTCTGCGTGTTGGAATGAAAAATCGTTTCAGTGAGAACCATGATTGTTAATTCTAAGCCAGAGGAAAGCTGGATCATTCGAACTTTCAGATCGTTAATCATTAAGGATTGTTTGTAGCTCTCATCACAAAGAAAGCACAAGAGATATTTTTCTTTATTTCGTTTGGTTGAAAAAGTGCTGTGCTTTTGCTGTAAATTTTCTTAAGAGATATAAATATTCTAACATCTTTTTTCTTGAGAGCTGCAAACTGATTTAAGAAATTTTGATAGAAACAAATTTCTTTTCCATTTCTTGTGCCATTATGGAACAATTTTTCATTTTATGTGCAAGAAAAGTTCGTTTCATTCGTTGACTTTATTTGCACAATTATCATTCAGTTCTTTTTTGATTAGTTTTAATATTCAAACACTTCAAACTAATGGAACGCTATGACAAACATTTTGCTCTCGCTTCCATTTTACGCGAATACTTCAGCGAAGATTTGTTCTCGTTTCGTTCTCTGTCCGAAAGTTACTGACACTTTAGTTAACAAATTGTTTTTCGAGAGTAAGTAGCTTAGACTTTTTTCCCGATTTTGTTATTTTCAGAAACGTTCCGGAGACTTTGGTTCGCATTTTGTTTTCTTTGGGAACGTTCCCTAGGGTTTTTTTCTTATGTAATTCCTTTGAGAACCTTCTCAATAGTTTTGTTCTCATTGCGGTTTTGGTTTTGAAGCGTTCTTGGGAAGAAAACTACTTGGTCCCTGGTTTTTATTGATATTTCGTGACAGGATCAGTACTAGTCCAAAAATAACTAGTTTCATTTTCACTACATCTTTTCCAATTTCAGAAAAGCTGTGTGAAGTGTGTTGTAGAAAAACTCAAATGTATTTCAGAAAAGTCCAAATGCATTTCAGAAATGGACAAAGTATTTCAGAAAAACGGCCAAACGAAATTCAGAAAAGCTCAAATGTATTTCAGAAAAACTCAAATGTATTTCAGAAAAGTCCAAATGCATTTCAGAAATGGACAAAGTATTTCAGAAAAACGGCCAAACGAAATTCAGAAAAGCTCAATCGTATTTCTGAAAAGCTCAATCGTATTTCTGAAANTAAACGAAATTCAGAAAAGCTCAAATGTATTTCAGAAAAACTCAAATGTATTTCAGAAAAGCTCAATCGTATTTCTGAAAAGCTCAATCGTATTTCTGAAAAGCACAAATGTATTTCAGAAAAAATATTTTCAGAATATTTTTAACTAGGAAAACTTTTCAATAGGAAAGGTGTAGTTCGGACCTAGTTTTTAACGAATTTAACGAAAAAATATAGTTCAACCCGATTTCCCTATTCCGTATTCTACATATTTTTCTTATCAAATCTTACCTCGGCTCTCAAATAAGGCTGACCTTGTCAGCTGACAAATGCGTATTGCATTTACCCAATCACTTTCCACAACTTACCCGCAATACTTTTAGGGCCTCCTCGCAAACTTGCATACCGCGCGACTCGAATACCTCAACGCAACCCAAATATTTCACCGCAAACGAACAGGTCGCCGAACGTACTGCCTCCTCGTCGGCCTGCCATTGATGCGGTTTCGATGATTCGGGCACACGATCCTTCCGACGACGAAACGAATCGCGAAAGGATCGACGCAAGCGATCCATTTTCTTTGGTGATTTCTTGCTAAAGCGAAATGATGCCGATTTCTAAAGGCGTTAGCAGCAGAAGAGAAAAGAAAGTAAACACATTAGTATGCAAACATATTCAAATTGTTGTAGACAAAAATTTACGTGAAAAAAAAGAGCGAATACATTTCGATCGTGTGAAACAAGTGCTAGACGACCGTTGAGTTCAAAAGTGGCGCAGTGTTCTGTTTTTTTTTTTTTTTTTTTTTTTTTTTTTTTTTTTTTTTTTTTTTTTTTTTTTTTTTTTTTNTTAGGTACTTGCTTTAGCAGCTAAAAACCTACCCCATTTTTAACATCACCAAATTTTCCGCGTGTGAAGCCGCGCTCCAGTGGTTCGTGTGTGTGTGACGATGAATTTCCCATAGCGAAGTTGAATTGTGCGCTGCCGCTGCTGCAGTTGCCTTCCTTCCTTCCTTCCTCCTTGTTAGCGTCCTTTCCGGCTGGTCGTTGTGCTCGCTCACTTGGTCGACTTACTGACTCACAATTGCTGGCTTGCTTGCGTCTCTCGGTTGTTTGTTTGCTGGCGCTCAAGCGCTGTGCGAATACCTGCGCTTACTCGGAGGGTTGTTGCTTGCGACTGACTGGCCGTTAAAATTTCAAAAATTTCGCTGCTTAAACGCCTTGTTGCTGTTGTTGTTAATCGACCGGTTATTGGATTGTTGAAATTTTCTAACAAATTTTATTCTGTGTTGATTTGTTACGTTGGTTGATCTCACACCTTCATATCACAAATTGATCAAGCTTTCTGTACTTTTGCTTTTTTTATTAAGTACATACATAGTTGTGTGTGGCTTTGTATCTTTGCTTTCTTCTTTTCTTTCTTATTTCATGTATTATTATTGCATCGTACTGTCGTTTATGGTTTTATTAAACAGCCATTAATTAAGTATCCCCGCGGAATTAGTAACAATTTGGCTAATTGGGTGCTATTGTGTGTGGGTTGGGTGTTTGAAGGCTGAAACTGTTTGAAAAAAACTGCGGTTTAAAATAATATAATTGCATCGTTTTAATCTCTACACTTCGTTGACACGTGAGACAGACAGCCAGCAGCAAAAGTGATATTCTTTCATGTGAGATAAAAAAGGTTCTTTTTTACGAAAAAAAAAACAAAAAATCTTAAAACCCGAAAGTTCCTGAAATTCCTGAGTAGGTATTAAGTAAATAAAGTATTTTGAAAGAAATTTCGCAAGCAAATCTTTCGGATTTCTGGAAGTTTATGCAGACAAGTCCGACTTAGTACTCTTCATAAAGTAGTACAAGGTTCAGTTTCTCTTTAGCCCCAAAATTGTGAATTACCTCAGCTTATCCCTACCGCCAGTCATCTTTGACCATAGCTGAAGACCGTTGCGCCTTCCGTCCTCCAGCTTGCACTGTTGAAAGGCATATGTTCTTGAACTACTTTCTCTACAAGCTCTCATACCGCCCTCTAGATCAAGCAGCCGATTAAGGGCGAATTGCCTTGTCGCAGCCACGCGGAGGATCCTGTCACGGATTTTTCCACCCTCCCTTACCACTGAATCATGCATGATATACTCTAGCGAAGTTTGTGTCATAAGTTGACGGAGTGGAGTTCGGATGCCGCGGAAAGAATTAGGAAAGCCTTATAGGTCTGTAGAAAAAATTTTAGGCGAGACGAGAGGCGAGCCGGTTGTTAAGACATATTTTTAATAATCTGCGGTACTCAACAACAACTCAGGCGAGCAATGTTATCGAAGTATTTAGTCAGGGATTTTTCCATGCCCGCTTACCATTAAATCATGCACCGAATACCTTGGATACACTACCCAGACAACAAGTTGACGTGGAGCTCGCAGGTCGGGAAAAGAGTAAGGAAAGCCACCAAAGCCGTATACGTCTGCAGGAAAATGCAAGGCGTGACATAAAGCTTATCCATCCGACTCTTAAATCTTAGGAAATCTAATGTTCTATGATAGGAGTTTCCTAATATAGTAGACACTGGCAAAATAAAAGGCGCAAGCCAAACAAAACGCTAGAAGCGATAACCAATTAGCCTGCAGTTAATGTGGTAGGAGAACCACCGCTTCGGTTCGGAGCTGAGATCATAGAGAAGTGGGAATTAAATTTTCGCACGGATGGATCCAAGCTAGACAATAGGCTGAGCCACGGAGTTTTCTCTAATTAGGATTGTAATTGAACATTACATTCCCGGACCACTGCAGCGTTTATCATGCAGAAGTTCTAGCTATAAAGGATCTTAACACGCTCGTCGTAACGAAACGATAAATATCTTCTTGGATAGCCATAGACGGCCATCAAATCAATGAACGCGAAATTGTTAAAATCAAAGGTTGCATTCATGGCAGCTCTAAATGATATTAGCATCGTCTTCGAGGACATTGCAGGGCCGATGAGCAAGCCAGGACAGGTTTCAAACTTCCAATGCGTGAAAACTGAGTTAAAATTGTGATACCCATTGTATCCTGTAAATTAAGGATTGGAAATAAGATTTTTCAAGAGGTCAATAGGTAATGGATAGATGAGGACACTTACATAACAACTAGGCTAGCAAATTGATAAGAAGAAATACATGAACTACTCAGCCTATAAAATAGCGGACATTTCGGAGGTCACGGCTTGTGTAACCGGTCACTGGCTAGTAATTTAGTAGGCACACTTCGAGATGCAGAATTCACTGAGATGAGAAAGAGGAGAAAACAGACGAAAATTACTTTTTAGGTAAACACATCTTCAGCTTACGGAACTGTGCGGTGTAGAAATAAAACCAATCTTGCGCTTCGTAAGAGCTTCAAAACGGTTACATGGAAAATAGTGACTAAGGTTCTCGTTTTTAACAGTGGTAAGTAGGTCATTTGAACAGACTGCCACATTAATCTAACTTTACCTAAGCTATAAAGTTGGAGGATGCATAGAACCTAGAAGATCTATATAGAACAGAAGCAGAAGACAATAGATAGATAATACGATTTTTTGAAGCACATATTTTCAAATCGGTTCAGCTCATCTGAATATTTTTCCGAAATATTTTAAATTTTTTAATTCCGGCGAAAGAACTGCAACCCTTTTTTGGTGAGACGCCCTAATGTATGTATATATCTATGCATAAACTTCTACATATGTACAAAGGTAATTATGCTTTTCATTATCTAAGCATTTAAGTGCTCTAGTGACACGATAAACACCAAAACTTGCCCAATTCTCAGTAATTTCTCATAGGTTTATTGTTAAGAAAGAAATCCAAAAAATGCAACTCTTGTTAATAAGATGACTCAGATACAAATAAAAAGCGAACAATAAAAGCACACCTAATAAATACATATGTATATAAATGCCACCGAGCCCAACTGCAACACGTTTTTGGTTTCATTTGTATGCTTAATAGCCTCGATCGGCTTTGTTTAGCTGCCCCGGCCAGTTGTTGGCCGACTGTGATTTTGTTTGCCTCAAAAGTCATGCGCTTACAAATGCACTCATACTTAGTAACATTTTCTTAGTAAAACGTCCTTGTTGTTGTTCGTGTTGGAAACACGTCATTATGTCGGCTGTTACCGATATCGCAGCAAACTATATACTACATACCTATATATGTATGTATGTATGTTTGTTTGTAGGCAGGCAAATTCCAAAAATCATAGATATTTTCAAAAGCTTTTCATGAGAGCCAAGTACATACATACATAGTTCAGATACTCGTGAGCACAAAAGCTTGTTAGCGATCAATCAAACTTTTGCTTAGGCGATCGAGGGCGCCGATTGTGGGTGGGAGGCAGTGTTGCCAGGTATTCGGCATGAGAAAACGTCCCTCCAACGCCAAAATAACGTAAGCGACATTTTTTTTTTCAAAATTTTCTTTTTGATGCAGAAATATTCCTAGAGCATTTAGATGCATTTCTGCATCAAAAAGAAAATTTTGTCGCTTACGTTATTTTGACGGTTAGGTACGTTATATATATTAAAATGTCATTTCGACAGAGCACATTCAAAATTTATTGTAAACTGGTTTGAGAGAGTTAATATAATAATCATTTTATACATACACTTGTGATAAGCTGATTAAGTCATCAACAATTTGATCGATTTTGGCTGTTTCTCTTTCGTTTATTTAATGTTTATTATTTGTCCATAAAAGCCAAGCTCATTAACAAACAAAATATAAATCCACAAAAATTGTGCAAAAATTATAAACAATCTGCAAATTTTCAGCTAGATATTCAACTTTCTATTCAGATTTTTTAGAATTTTTTTTTGAGTATGCAGTTTGATAGCCTCTTAAATTTCAGACCAATAATGTGCAAGTTTAAAGGGGCTAAATAATCGCGTTGATTTTTAATATTTAATTTTTTTTCTTGTAGACATTTGGTTAGGGGCTCGGTTGTCGAAAATGCTAAATTACGTTCTGCTAAGAAGGAGCATAGCAATAGGTCCATTCAATATCAAAAAATTGTTACGAATTGTTGCTAGTACTTGCAAGTCTTTACTGGGAATGCATTCAATAACCCAAAATATTTGCAAGAGGGAGCGAATTCGAGAGCGTAACACCCCGAGAGAGAGCTGCAAATTCTTGCAAGTAAAAATTTTACTAGTAGGAATTGGCAGGAGTCAAAAAGTAAGGTTATGTTTCAAATTCAAATGTAAACAAACTGTTTAAGAGGATAATTTGATGAAACATAATGAGTGAAATAAAAATATGGATGAAACATTTAAATCTATTGTATATTTTCTTATTTTTATGACGAAGGGAACTATTCCCAAATAAAAAGAAAATTGCGCGCCAAAACTTAACCGTCAGAAAGTGTCAAAATGGCGTAAGTTGCAAGTTTTTACTAGTTCTGCGTTCAATAACTTTATCAGAAAATTTTCTCTTGCTCTCAATTTTACTCTCTATTTTTCTTTTACGCTCTCGCTGCAAGTACTTACTGGAAAAGTAATTGAATGGACCTAATATTTCAGTCTTTTTTGAGTTCATTACAATTTCAATGGGCGCGTTTCTAAGACGCAACTGTTTACCTCAACTGTTGCTGAAATGCTGTCAAATGTTGAGTTCAACAGTTACATCTTAGAAACGGTAAGATACATAAACTGCCAAAACATTTGTAAACAAGCAAAATTAAATAAAACAGCACAAAAATAAAAAAAATATATTAAACCAAAAATATGGATAGCACAGGATTTATAATGGAGTTGTTCTTATTTTATTTTTAATGTACGTGTATTTTATTTTATTAACAGCCAGTTTCGCCAGCAATTTACAGACAAATTATTGTTTGATTTGAATCTTCTATGAAAACTGACGAAAGAGAAACATCATTTTTGACTTATATAAATTGTTGACTTCATGTAGCGAAATAATTTTATGATGATGAAAAAAATGGCGTAACGTTGTCAACCGTTGAGCTGAGCGGAACTACTCAACTGTGCGTTTCTGAAACAAACACTCAACAGTTTAGCAACAGCTACGTCTTAGAAACGCGCCCAATGAAGTCTAAAAAAAGTCGCCTACTTTTTTCTGACGTTTTATGCTGCACAGCTTTTTTTGATGCTTTTGCGAGCGTGCCTGCTGCAATAGATCGGCTCTTCCTGAATTGGCTTTTAATGTGCAATTGCAAGCATTACAGCAAGCCTCGTAACCTCAAGTGTTAACACAACCAGCCTTTGAACACGGGATCCTTAGTCCAAGAATCGAGAAAAAATCTTTTGAAGCAGCTGCAGCAAAACACAAAGATTGTAAGGATTTATTAAGAAAATACTACAAAATCAGTTCAACTTATAAGATTTAGTAACAAGAAAAATTACTGGGAAGTTGAAAAACGTAATTTTTTACACAAAAAACGTCCAAACGTCAACAGGGTACAAAAAAACGTCCAAATGACGTTAAAAACGTCAACCTGGCAACGCTGGTGGGAGGGTACACCTAGGATATGTATGGTTGAAGCGAATAAATGATTTGAGTTAAAAATTTACTGACTTATTTGACAATAACTC